GCCGCCATCTCGCGCTCGCGAATCACAAAGCCGCGCTCGCGACTTGCTGCTGCGCGCACGGTCGCAAACTTCAGCCAGAAACACACTTGTCTCAATTGGCATATTACGCTGATCAGCGACTGGTTCTCAAAGTGCCGCCTCGCGTAGTTGCGCATGAAAACTCACTGTCTCTCATTTGGCCCACACTACAGCCGCTCAGCCCGCACTTTCAAGTACGCCCGATCGGCCCGACTTGTGCCCTGATAACACACTGTCTCTTATTTTCTGCCCATCTCGCGCTCGCCCGACTTCCACAGGCGCGCTCACGACTTGCCGTAGGTTTCCTGCCATTTATTGGACTTATCTTTTTCTATGTAATTGCGGTTCTTTGCTCAAACTGCTATGCCAATTCCAATCATTTCAAAACAAAAAGACAACATTAGAAACAGGCTATCCAAACAACATCCAAGCCATGCAAAATGATTGAAATCATTCATGCAACAATTAATAATTTATGAAGTGCATTGAACTATTTACTATGAATGTTGCTTTATAAGCATTTGACAACCAACATTATGCTCCATTGCAGGTTACGTAGAAAACCATGTCAGAGTAAGGCCATGCTCGCCGACAATAGCTGATAGAGATCTGCCCGCTCATACAGTTGTTTACTCCGGCTACAGGCCGTTGATAGTGGATCATGAATTATATGGGCCATAGCAGCCAAGTATACAGTATTCATCCAGTTTATACAGTATTTTCTTATCACCTCGGCTTTCATATAACTTATGCGAGCCATACAGAATATTTTAACTTGCTATTAGCCAATGAATCATACAGTTAAAATAAACAAGTAAGGAAAGCATCATTAAGGCTTAAAATGAAAAGCCGCCCATGCTTATGTGTGATTGATTATGCTGCTTAACAATAATGACTTTTATCTTATATGTGTGCCTTATTAGATGTTTTATGCTTAGAGCAATATCCACTGAGCATTTAATCTATGGTACCTCAAGCGAGTACCTGTTTAACTCGCCAGCGTTTTGAGACTAGTCCGTAGAGGCCGTCCGCTTTACAACTGCTGCCGTTTCATCTATAGGAAGACTTAATTCTCCGGTCTTTCAGGTAGAAACTCATTTAGCTTTATCTTTTTATGGCATGTACAGGGCACCAGTTGGGCCCAATCCATTTTGTAATTAGCTATCATGCTTGTAAATATTCTAGCTAACAATATTACTATTAAGCAATCTCAGCATGATATTTAGATCATTATACATTATGATTTCAGCATGTCAGTTCATTCAGTCAACCAGTTTGTAGCGTCTCGGCTCGCGTTATTCGGGTTTACGGAGGAGCCGCCGCGAAGGGATGTTACAAAAAGATAGGAAATTAAACTGGATTAGAATAGCTAACAATAAATCGCGGGCAGCAGCTTCTTAGTAACTTAGGCGTTGTTTCTCTTTTCTCCTACTTGAACAATTAAAGTTGATTAATGAACTAATAGAATAAGCTGGATAGAATTAAGTGAAATCAAATTCCCTAGTAGCTTAATTCCCTAGTTTCTTTTCACCTGAATTTTGTGTTTGATCTCTTCTGTTTTTACTTTAAAGTTTATTTACCTTATAGTAATTCTCTCTTACCATCGTCTAAATAATAATAGGTTAACATAATTTTGGTAATTGATAAACAATCCCTGTGGATACGATACTCTGTTACTCTATATTACTTGTTGCGATTTCGTACACTTGCGAAAAGCGCTGTCAGTCGGAAATCTCCAATTCCAGGTTGGCGATTCTTCATGGCATACATATTCAACAACAGGAAACAACAAGCTCGAATCTAAGAGGGTTCTACATCCATGGACAAAACCGTACTCAGAAAAGGCTCTAAGGGAAGACCTTGATCCGGGTCTATGCCGTCAGGAAGGTAAACCGGGCACAGGGCCGCAATCTCGACTAGATCATGCCTAGGGCCGGGGGCAAAGCTGGAGTTTCATCTTGTTCAGGGTGATGACCCATCACAGCACACATTTCCTCATAGGTCGGAGTTACTTCAGAATCTTCATAAATTTTTTTTTTTTTTACTTAACATGAATTGTTTGTGTTTAACTATTTGTTTTTAAAGATCAAGAAAAACGATTTTCTTTTTTGTGCTGATTTTATGATATATAAGTATGTTAATTAAATTATTTAACTCCTGCGCATTTCTATAACAAATTAGAATTCCCTTTCTGTCAGGCCCCCAAAATTTCAAAATGCTTACATTTAGAAAGAGATTATTTAGGCCATTCTTTGTTGAACTCCATATTTAGGCTAGGCCCACCAGCCTAGGCCACCTAAGTTAAATTATGACCAAAAATTTTCTTGTTCACCCTTATTAAACCTAACCATTAAACCAATTTAAATTCTTACCATGAGTGCAATAATGTATAATTGAAGGATTTGATTCATATTAAAACATAGCAACAAAAGGTAGAAAATTCCATTAATACTAGTAAGTGAAGCAAGTAGAAAAACTCAAAGAGAAACGCCTTGTAAAAGAAGCAATTAATCAAAAATTCAAGTTTGGGGAATTGAAGTAAGGAAAAGTTATCAATAAATATATTATGAAGAAACCTTGCTAAAGTGTCTATAATTTTGAGTTAGTGAAGAACTTCAAGATAATCTCCCTTTACAAATAAAAATTTGTTTTGATGTGATGAAAATCTTGATATTTTGCATTGTTTGCACTTTTTGTCTATCCTTATCCTTTTATTCCTTCTCCTTTGTTTAGCCCCCTAAAATTATACCTCTTTAAGGACCCCATTATAAACTAAATAAAATATTTTTTTAATCTTTCTGATTGTGTGCCATTTCAATTGTGAAAAAATGGATTAACTAATTTTTGCCTATGCCGGCAATGTTGGATTTATATTGTTAAAACAATCTCTTATTTTAAGAGGCCTTAAATAATTCTAGTCAGTGAAATATTCATATTCTATTTGTCAATTCATATTCTATTTGTCATAGGTTGAATAAATTGGTGTTGAAAATCTTATTAACTCATGATTAAATTAAAGAATGTGTTTTGTTGATAATTGGATTTTTCCTAAGAATATAAGTAGCAAAGGAAACATTTGATTCATTCTCATGATTAGAATTTTTGATACTTTTTAAGTTGTGAATAATTATCCCCAACCATATCAAGTTAGCTTTATTAGTTTGTTTTAGCTTTTGTTTTTCTTTTATTTTTAGTTTTGTTACTTGAAGACAAGCAATATTTTAAGTCTGGGGAATTATGATAGGTGTTATATTTATAATATTTTTAATATAGTTTTTGTTAGGATTTTTAGTCGTTTTAATCACTTTAGTTAGTTTTTATTCAATTCCAGTTTTAGTTATTGTTTTTGTTTCAAAGCTTTCCTTTGAAACATATTCACTTTGATCTATGTAGACATTTGTAGGATTTGACACAGAAAAGAGCACAAAGTAAGCCCCAAAACTCTCAAGCGCTGGGCACGCCCTGGCCCGATGCAGCCAGCCCGCCCATGCCAGGATCAAGGAAAAAATTATCAAGGAAAAATCAGCTTGGAGACTCAGAGCCTAGCACGCCCTAGCCGTGCTATATGGCATGCCCGTGCCACAGAATGATATCGATTCAAAGGCATGTTCACCTAAGCACGGCCCATGCTGCATCCATCCTAGTAACTCAGTGCCTAGCACGCCTTAGCCGTCCGGTCCAGCACGCCCGTGCCACAAATTTATCTCAGAGCGTGCTCACCTGAGCACGGCTTGTGCTCCGATTACCTTAGAACTCAGGTTCCAACACACCCAGACCATGCCCGATGGCATGCCCGTGCTAAAAATTGAGTTTCGTTTTGAGCCGAAAACGTCAGCCCAGTCCCTACCACTTGTATGGGCCCACATGAGATACTTTCCTAACGTGCCAATCAAGTTTAAATCTTATTTAGGTGCCAATCAAGTTTAAATCTTATTTAGACGTATGGGAGAGTCCTAATTGAGAAGAAATTAAAAGCCTAAACAGCCTCCTATCTCCAAGAGATTTCCTACTCAATAAAGACTATTTCCTAAATGAAGTCGGAGTTTTCCCAAGAAGTCTATATAAAGAGAGAACCCATTCGGTGTAGGGGATCGGGGGATATACCATCTTTTGTTTTATTGTTTTTCTCTCTTTAAGACTTCAAGTAATCAAGATTTGTGTCAAGATTCAAGGAAGCCGTCCATATTATTTGTTGGCTAATTTTTATCCCTAAACTCTTAATCTTGTTTTTTACTTTTCATTATTCACATATTGATGTATGGAATTATTTTCAAGTTTAATTGAGTTTTTTTTAAATTACTATGTCCAAAATAAATTCTCATCATAACTACGGGATTTGCATGTAGCTTAATTTTTTTTTTACCAATTTATAAGGATTAGATTCGCTTTTCTTTGTTCAAAGTATAGTTCATTATTGAACTTAATCCTCCCAGGCAGAGTTTCTCGCTGCATATTGATTTATTTCATTAATCACTATTGAGAGAAGGGTTTTTGATATGAAAAAGGTAATAAATTATATGAGAATAATAACTTGATGCGGAAGCTAAATGGTTTGACTCATGGAAGGGTTTTCATAGGTTAATAACCTTACGTTATGAATTCACAAAACAAACCATAAAACTTAATGATTTATTTCATGTTTGATTGCACTATTGGAAGATAGATAATTAGGTCAAGTTAAAATAGCTAATAATTAAAATTGTTTAATTTTAGGGTTGTTTCTCCTACTTAAACAATTAAAATTGATTATAAAAGTAATAAAATAAATTAGATAGAATTAAGTGAAGTCAAAATCCCTAGTAGCTTTTAATCCTTGATTTCTTATTATCAAAAAAACTGTCTTACTTAATTTCTTTTTATTCTCTTTTATTTGTTGAAGTTAATTTCTTAAAATGATTCCCCTGATTTCCGTTTAAATAATAGTAAGTTGACATAATTTTGGTACTTGGTATACAAAGTTGACATAATTTTGGTACTTGGTATACAATCCTCGTGGGAATGGTACTCCACTCATTCTTTATTACTTGTTGCGATTTCGTACACTTGTAAAAAATCATTGTCAGTCAGCTCACTTGTAAAATATATGAACATAAAGAAAGTGGTCTTTGAGGAGGCCTTTCAGTTACTTTACTTTTGAAAATAGCTTTGGTGCAACCTGCATTGTCAAACGCTAAATTAGATGATGCCATGTGTCAAAACTCTAAAATTTTTCCAACAATAACCAACACTTACACATTTATCAACACAATACAAGTAATCAAAGTATTGCCCAGTACAGTGCTTTAGCCCAAGTTCTTCTCCTTCTATTCTCTTTATACATGCCTGTATTAAGTTGAAAAGCATTTTCCTTTTAGTAACAATGAAGAAAAATAATAAATTCCCAATTGAAAGTATTTTCCTTTTATATTAGACCTTTTAATATAAAAGTATTTTACCTCATATTCAATTAAAGGCTTCACACATTTAGGCTTGCAGAAGTCCTCCAGATATTTCTTTTGATCAACAAATTCTTCATCCGCCCTAAATTTAATTAAAATATATAGATATAAATAAACAAATAAACAAATTAGCGAAATTTTAGGAATTCAAAAACAAAAGAAGTTTTATAATTAACAATTTGGATGAAAGCTACTATAAGCTCAACCTTTATATAAGAATGAAACTATTAGTTGATTTTAATTTAAATTTATCGAGATAAATATAGTTTTATTGATATGTTTGACTTTATAAGCTTATTAATTGTACTTTATATAGTTATTAATTGTAATGACTAACATATTTATTCTTATATAAGGTCAACTTATAATAGTCAAACCTAATAATTTTTAATATTATACATGACGCCTTATTTAGGAAGGGTTATGCAACCCATCCCCAACTATGATTGATGTTGATATATTAATAACATAAAAAACTTACCTACACTTGTTATATGGGTGGGTTAATCTAATGCAGACATATAGAACAAACGAGGGAATTGCTGACTATTTACTCAAAAAAAAGGACAAAAAAAGAGTCCTAAATGATAAACATTTTTTGCAATAACAATTTTTAATTTGTTTGACATATAGGTAGTCCCATATACCGAAACTAGGTAAGTAATTTTCATTAATTACACAAAACAAAGCACAATGCTATTAAATGAATAACCTTAACTATAAGAGTATATAAGCTTACATAGAAGTTAAATTGAATGGTACAAGAATTTACTAAGTGTTCAAAGGTGTCTTTCCTGCATAAGAAAAATACAAATTGATCATTTACAATGATTAAGAATATTGATCCACATAAAAGAATTAACAAAAATCATATGAATATTAAAAAATTGCAAAATAACAATTCAATCGCGAGCAAAAACAATATCATATTAACAATAAAACTATAGTGAATCAAAACAATATCATATTAACAATAAAACTATAGTGAATCTAGAATGACTATTAAAATTTAAATGTATTAATCACCATGATCACACCTTTTAGTTGCTCTAATTAATGCAAGTTTCCTATTTTATGAAAAAAGGGAAAAACAATGTAGATTAACAAAATTAGAGCTTACAAATGGAAATGAAGGATTTGGGAGAGATAAAAAAGCTACAAAACGGGATATAAAAAATTTGGAAGTTATGATTTACAAATTACACACATATAAAACTTAAGAAACCTTGCCTTTATCCAATTGATATGTATCAATGTAACTTTGAGCTTCAACAATGCAACAAATTGGTATAAATCATCTAACAAACTTGGTTATATATAGCATAGAGATGCTTATATGGTGCCTTGAAAGTGTGGATACTCATAATTTTATGACCATTGAACTAGTCAAATACTTGGCCCATGATTATTGATACTATAATACTTTCATGTGAAATAAACATATTTTGTTTCATATTCATATATTGATACTGTATCCAAATTATTTGATATTCAATTAAAAAGACTCAAACTTGATATCTATCACGGATTAGAAATCTCAATACTTGATATCTATCACGGATTAGAAATCTCAATCACCACTTGAAGTTATATTATAATTTTATGCGCGATTTAGTTTGTTAAGAATCAATGTTTGACTAATCACTAGGTGGTGTTTCTTCTTATAATTTAAATTAAATATCATGTGGATATCTTTCTGTGTAAACTATATTCCTCCAGTCGAATGTATATATAATAAAATTAAAATGAAACATTTTTGTTATAAAATATAATAAATAGAGAATATATGTCGACATGTAATAGACATAATATAGAGATAATAGAGAGAAATTGAATTCTTGTATTAGAATCTTAGTTATCAATCCATAGGATTAAAGAACTATTTATAGGATACAAAATACAATCTAAAAGACATAACCTTATACACGAAAGGATATAACCTTTCATCCTAAAAGACATAACCTTACACATTAAACTTACACATTAAAGGATATAACTATTCATCCTAAAGGACATAAACCTTTATTCCAAATGACATGTCTTATGTAGAAGATAAATAATTTCGTTAATAAACTTAATGGACATCTATTATATAATATAATATGTATAATACTTCTCCTTGGATGTCCATTACAAGAAGAATATGCCTCGTTAAAACCTTACTAGGAAAAAATCATGTGGAAAAGAATCCTAGTGAAGGAAAAAGAGAATAGTATTCTTTGTGTTTTAAAAATTTATTTGTCCCCCTGATGAAGACATCACTACTTGTCTTTTCCTTTAATGTACCATTCCTTCAGGCAAGATATAATATTTTAATATTATCTCCTACAATATATGGACCTTGTTTTCTATGCAAGCAAATTGTATGTACTTTTGTACGTGATAGGTGTCATTTTTTACAGTATTTTTAATATAATTTTTATTTGGAATTTTAGTAATTTTTATCACTTTAACTAATTTTTACTTCGTTTTAACTATAATTTTGTTTAAAGCTTCCTTGAATCATAATCCACTTTGTTTAAAGCTTCCTTGAATCATAATCCACTTGATCTTAAAGAAATTTGCAGGGTTTTGGCACAGAAAAGAGCACTATAAAGCAAAACACTCAGGATCTAGCACACCCAGACCGTGCACATTAGCTCGCTTGTGCTGAACTTAAGGGAAATCAAGTGGAGACTCAGACTCTAGCACGGCACGCCCGTGCCTAAAGGACCTCAGGGCGTGCTTGCCTAAGCACGCCCGTGATTCATTTTATCTTGGAAAAGTCAGAGCCTAGCACGCCCTGCCCGTGCTATGGCGCACGCCCGTGCTTCGAATGTAAAGCTGTCTTGAATTAAAAACGTAAGCCAGTCTTTTTAACTTACATGGGCCCACCTCAGATATTTTCCTGACGTACAAAACAAGAACTAAGCCTATTTAGGAAGAAAGAAGAGTCCTAATTAAGAAGAAATCCAAGCCTAAACAGTTTATGATCTCCAAAGAAGATTTCGTACTTTTCGTACTTAATAAGGATTCTATTTCCTAAACGGAGTCAGATTTTCTCCCAGGAAGTTTATATAAAGAGAGGAACCATTCATTATAGAGATATCTCTTGTTCTATTATTTTTCTACATAGTTCTCTCTCTCAAATACTTCAAGCATCCAAGATTTGTGCCAAGATTCAAGGAAGCCAACCGCGTATCAGTTGTCTAGTTCTTATTTCTAAACTCTTAATCTTGTTTTATTTTTCATTATTCACATTGTTTGTGAAGTTTGATTCAAGTATTATTGAGTTTTATTTGATTACTATGTCGAACTAAATCCTCATACTAAGGATTTGATGTAGCTTAAATTCTTTTCCAATTTATAAAATTAGATTTGTTTTTCTTTGTTCAAAGTATAATTTATTATTTAATTTTTATTGCCATTAGATTGGCCTTTCACAGCCCAGAGTTTCTCTCCTGAATTGCATTATTTGTATTAATCACTACCGCGGCAGCTGTGAGAAGCGGTTTTTAATATGAATAGGCGCTAAATAAATACTTGAGTATATAAATAACTTGCATGTGGAAGCTTTATATGCGTTTGAATGTTCTCATGATGGGTTCATAAGATGAGGGGTTTTCATAAGTTAATGACCTTAAGTTAAGAATTCACAAAACAAACCACAAAACTTAATGATTTAATTCATGTTTGATTTCACTATTAGAAGATAGGTAATTAGACCGGATTAGAATAGCTAATATTACGTATTAAAATATCAATTTCAATCGGATACGTTACTGGCTTACTTCATAAATTGTGATGTCTTTCATAAATAAAGAAATGTAAATCATATATCAATTGTTATGAGTATAATGATCCTTAATATATATACTCAATATGATACTATGATACTTCAAGATATAGTATTTCATTATTGTAAAAAGATACAAAACTTCAGGACTAAATAGCTCGTGCGCGTCATCATTTTTGGAGGTTGAAATTAGTTCCCTTTTATCTCATTAAATGACTCACTAATTATCAATTCACTAATGGATTAGTTTTATCCATAATATAATCATTTTCGATCCTTTGATTATATGTATTGATTAATGCGATGGTAAATTTTGATTAATGGATGTAAATTCCATTTATAAGATGTTCACTCTTCAGGACGAGAAAAATTTTGTATTTTCAAGTTTTTTCATCTCAAATTTCTCCTTTGAAAAGATTATAATCTTTAGAAAGCTCTTCAGGGGTTTTAATAATTTTCATAAATCAAAATAATGGTAAATTATATTTAATTCTCTTATGAATATATTCTATCAATAAATATTCACTAATTAATTTACTTCTAAGTAGAATAGCATATTAAACAAATATCAATACTTTGTCAAGAAGAGTGGAAACATGATAGAATTAATTTACCTAATGAATATATTCTATCAATAAGTATTCACTAATTAATTTACTCTAAGTAGAATAGCATATAAAACAAATACCAATACTTTGTAAAAAAAAAGAGTGGAAACATGATAGAATTACATCATATATTTGTTTTCTACTATAGTCATTTCTTTAAGGCGATTATACCATCTTTGCGACAGATTTTCTTAATTTGTATAGAAATCTTTATAATTTACTTGAATATATTTTCAGAGTTTCAATTTGCATGCTCAAGCATGTTTTAATCTTTCAAGGATTATTACGACAGATTTTCTTAATTTGTATAGAAATCTTTATAATTTACTTGAATATATTTTCAGAGTTTCAATTTGCATGCTCAAGCATGTTTTAATCTTTCAAGGATTATTAAAAAGTAAATCGATTATTTAGAGCTCTACATACAAGTAATCTATATAGAGCTCTACATAATTTCTCGAGAATTTGATTTTTGTTCTTCAAGCAAATTAAATCTTTTAGGGATTTTCACACAGATATCTATATCAAATGAGCCATATAAATAGGGAATCACTATTTATATCAATGCGAATACTTTGTGAACATTTTATATAACAAGTTTTAATGTTTGGATTACAAATCCAAAAACTTTACTTTTCAAATAAATTATATCTCAATTGTACTAATCCATTTTGGCCAATCATCTTATGTCTATATTTAATACGTTTATAATCGAGATCCTCATCGTTTTTCACAATATTAAGTGCTATAGTATACGAAAAAATATAGTCGATATTTATTTTATATCGATTTAATCTTTCCTTGACATGACATAACTTATCTAGATTTCATTATTTTCATCGAATTCATTGATTTTGGGTAATTGATTTTCTTCTTGAAATTTATCAGTCATGTCTAAGGTCTCTTTTGGAGTTTATTTTTCTAAAATTTTTCTTTTTAGAATTTGCACATATAACACATTTGCTCATTTTCATTTTCAACGATTCTTGTCCTTGGAACTGATTAATCTACCATGTTTTAGGCGTGCAATAGATTTATTAACATACCCATGTTTTAGGCATGCTATAGATTTATTAACATAGGCAGTTTATCATTCAAGGACTTTAATTCTAATAAGATTCTAGCAATTGATTTACAATAGTTTGAAAAATAACTATCTTTAGAACTTCTAGTTCACACAACCTTGTGAGATGATCAAAATTTGATAATAATAATTATTTTCAGTAATTATTAGTTTTAGCTACTTATTTTCTCCCCTTAATGTCGAGATCTATAAATTCTAAAATAGATCCATAATCAAAAGAGGAAAAACTTACAATAACTTATTGGTTTGATGCGAATAATTATTATTATACATAATAGCAATATCTCTATATATAAACAAGGAGTTCGGTTCTCAAAAAAATTGCTTTGAGAACACAACAATAACTTATTGGTTTGATGTGAATAATTATTATTATACATAATAGCAATATCTCTATATATAAACAAGGAGTTCGGTTCTCAAAAAAATTGCTTTGAGAACACAAGAATTAAAATTCATTAAATTTGAAGAAATTTCTGGTTCTTTAATAAATATCCATATAAGGATAATTTTTTTTTTCGCATCATTATTGATCGGTATGGTCCAATCGATTATGCCAAATAATAAAATACTTGGATTTGTAAACTTCTAATTTATAACCATATTTATTTAATCTTTATCTCCATATGATATCTAATTTAATCAATATCTTTGGAACTCAATGCATTATACATAATTTTATTTGCCTTTCAATATTTTGGTGTACTTATTTGCCTTTCAATATTTTAGTGTACAATGAGTACATAACTAATATCCATATATTTCACATTATTTGTACCACTTATGGTGGTAAGATTTATTTATATGGCTATCATAATTGCAAAAATTATTATTTCAACTATGATCTCCTTAATATTCTCAATGACAAGTATATCTTTGTCATTATTTACATCCACATCCACGTCCAATATCATATATTATTGCATTCACTTCAGAGAATGCATCAAATCTAGTTGGGTGAATCTCATTATTTCAATATCTAATATTATATTTTATTCCATTTACTTTAGAAAATGGAGCAAAATCCAATTGGTTGGTCTCATGATCTTTATTAAGATTTCTTTATTTTGCTTAATGATGTAAAGGACATGAAAATTCAAAATATATCTTAAAATCTTCTCTCTTGATATTGCTACTGCAGAAGAATACTCGAGGCATAAATATCAAAAACGAACATAGGCTCCAAAATAATAATAATAGTAATATCATTCCCAAAGAAATCTTTCAAATCTCAAAATTTATACCCTGTGAATATATATACTAATATATAATAATAATTATAATAACTCACAATTTTATGATCTTGTAATGATAAATGCATCTATCAATATAAGCTTTTGATTGCATAGTTTTCTATCAAACCATTTCAAAGAAAAATAGACAGATAAAATATTCAATAGAAGAAAATTATTAACTTGATGCATTTTATCTTAGATTTTTTATTTCTAATTTTGATTTGTCTATAAGACCTATAGCATCCATATGTATTTCAACGTCACTTATTCATGACATATAATTCTTGCTTGTAATATAAAAGGGCTAGAAATTCAAAGTTTCTATAATTTAACATAATAATTAATATTAATATAAAATAAAATATAAAATCTAAAAAATAATAATTAATATTAATATAAAATAAAATAATTATATTAACCAAACAACACATGAAAATTTGAAATTAGTATAATTATGAATTAATAGTATCAAAATTTAAAATATAAAACACATCAGTTAAAGTAAAAAGAAAAATTGATTCATGTTAAAAACAAATGACCAACTATGATATTAAAAACACTACACAACATAGCATTGATCGAATATAATAAAAACTGCTAATCAATAGAAATTGTATAAAGTGACTTGAGTGATCAAGATGGGTTCATCATCCTATGAGTGATCAATACTAGTAACTCTACTAGTATTGATCATGAAATCCTTGCACAAGATGAAATCAAATTAGTAAATTGGATTTGAAATCTTATTCAATGAATCAATAACTATTGCTAAAAGAATTAATATAATTTAACTTACCAGACATGTTCCATGCTTAAATGAAATAAATCAAAGAATTAATATAATTTAACTTACCAGACATGTTCCATGCTTAAATGAAATAAATCAAAATATTATTGATGAATAGATCTTAAATATATTGAGAGATCATTCACTAAAAGGTTAAGTCAACCTACTATAGACTTTTCAAATATTTGGATAGTCTTGTTATGGTGCTAGATATTACTTTTAACTTTCAAATATAAATTTAATTAATTATATTTGGAACCTAATGGGTCACATGTATAAGGATTGTATATGAAAAATTAAAAATGAGAAATTAAATCAAGTTGGATTTGATTAAAAATAAGTTTTAAGTAAAATTCATAAAAAAATTATAATTTTGATCTAAAATATTAAATAGGTACTCAGAATAAACGTTTCTAAAACTTATTGGGTTTAAACATAAGATATTTTAAAAGGTGAATTAATTATAATTTATTTATTTAATTGATTAAATTAATAATTTCTAACTAGGATATATTATGAGTACTTCCCGCATTCCTCTCTATGTAGACTTGACTTTTATAGCAACAAAATAATATCTGGTTATTATTTTGAGTTAGAATTCAAAATACTTTTTGCTTTTCAAATTGTCCAAAAATCATTTTATACTCTTTTCATTGTCAATTGGTGAGGATATTGTTAAAGACCGTACAATTAGACGGTTTATGAATTATGACAATCCAGTGAATAACAAATTTTTAATTCTAATTGTGAAAGATTTGATAATAGGTATTATTTCAAATTAATTATTTATTATTTTAATCATTTAAATGTAATTTTGTTCGTTAAAAATATTATAATATCGATTCCATTCCACATTTTATTCCATATAAAACCAATAGTAACTCCATTACCAATCTCATGGATGAGATACGTACATTCAAAAGAAAAAAAGAAATAGCAACAAAGTGGATAGGGATGATAATTTTACCTAATTCAGGTAATATTTTTATTATCTGTATCGGGTTCAGTACCTGCTACCCGTCATCCATTTAAAAAATATTTAAAATAATTATTTTTTAAAAGAAAATTTTATATATAGACACCTTTTTTAATTATAATCAATGTATTAATTATATTTAATATTTATATTGTATTTTTTATTATGTCAAAACAATAAATTTTTATAATGCTTATTTACATTTTATTTTTAAAAAATGAAAATTAAAGATATTTTTAATGCTAAACGAGTAGATTAAAGATATTTTTAATGCTAAACGAGTAGTTAAATAGGTAATTATAATCGAATTTGGGACGAGTTTAGATACTAAAAAGGAATTTCTAAATAGATTCTAATATTTAATTTAGAATGAGATTTAGAATTAGATAGTTTATTTTAGGTAGATATCTGATCGGTTGTCATCCCTAAGAGTGAACACTAATCAATCAATTGTATATAAAAGATAAGAGAAGCAAAAAAGTTTTAAAAAAAAGAAAAAGTAATAAAGCTGAATTGGTGCGCACTTTGGTTCAGTACCTACATTGTGAATAGATGTCAATCAATTATTGATGGAACACAAAAAGCCAAGAACAAAAAGAAAGAAAGAAACGAAAGAAGAAAAGTGAAAGCATTTAATTCCAATGAACTTTTCCTTTTTGGTGGGATCATATGCGTCAATAATTATTATTCACAAGCAATTGAGCTTACAGCTTTAACGAGTAATTGAGCTTACAGCTTTAACGAGTTCGGGTTGGAAGAATCTAGACTCTAAAAACCCATTACCAACTGCTCATCCTTCCAAAGGTTTATTGTCATATAATGTAAGCTCATCCTTCCAAGTTTATTGCATATAATGTAAGTTCTTTCTGCACACTAGAGTTTCTTTTAATATTCTTGAATTGCTATTTAGTTGGTTCTTGTGATGTGTATGTGCCTCTTCTTTTTCTCCTCTCTTTTATATACTTCTTCCTGTTATTTTCTGCATACAACATTCTTCGGAACATAGGCATCTAAGCTTCTGATTCCATTTTTATGTCTAAACTTTGAAGTTTTTGAACTTGTTTATATTAATTTTCTAACCAAAACGTATGTTTTACTCTCAATTGGTTTATCAGTATACCTATGGACCAGATCTAGGTATATCATTCTCAGGTTAAACTTACTTAGATTCGGACTATGACTTCATCTATGCACCAAACTAATGAAATGAAAACATAAATTTTTTTAAAAATTGTTCCTTCTTTATGGTCTCACTCGTAGCTCAAACCAGTGAAAATATAGTAAAAATTGCTCCGCTTAAAAAAAAAGAAAAACACATTTTTCATTGATCCATGGGTAGATTCATACGGGTCTAGACAAGTCAATCTCATTAAAGTTCTTCTGATTTTCTTGAATTGCTATTTACTTAGTCCTTTTCTCCTCTCTCGAATTGCTACTTACTTCGTCCTTTTCTCCTCTCTCTTTATAGAATTCTTGCTGCTGTTAATTTTTTACATCCAACATTCTTGGGAACATTGGCATCTAAGCTTGTGATGAGTTTCATAATAATGTCCAAACTTTCAAAAAACTTTTGAGCTTGTTTGTTGTTTACGTTATTCTTTTTCAATTCTTTTCAAGACAACTTAAAGAGAAGTTTAGGCAAATGTTGTTATTTCCAGCTTGCATTTATTTCCTCAGGCATTCCTCAGGCATTAAACTCAAACCCAAATGAAACCTTAGAAAGTGAATAAGGAAAAGCAATTACTTCACTCTCAATTCAATTTGTTGATTGTTGTTGTTTTGCTATGGGTTTATTTAGAACTAACTTTCAGTGGTTCAACAATTATTTGATCTTCCAAAGCTTTTGACAATTGACAGTTTGAACATACATCCTAAGATCAAGAGGATAAACATGGCAACAAAAATTGTCCTTGAAGATCTAGATGGAAATAATTACGCAGACTGGAGAATTTGGATGAAGAACTATTTGTTGGCTAATGATCTATGGGATGTTATTGAAGCAAATGAGAAACTGGAAGAGGATGAAGCTGAATTGAAGGCTTGGACAAAAGCAAATGAGAAACTGGAAGAGGATGAAGCTGAATTGAAGGCTTGGACAAGGAAAAATGCTGCAGCTTTACATGCAATTCATGTTTCATGTTCGTTGGAGGTATTTTCTCACATCAGAGAGATTGATTCTGCTAAATCTTGCTGGGAAACTTTGGCTATAATGAATGAGGTAAAGCCAGCTGTGAAACCTCCAGGTAATGCATTCCTTCTTCTACGTCTAAAGACTACGGGTCTCTTTTTTCTTTTGTTTTTTCCTTTTTTTTTATTTTTTTTTTATTTTTTTATGAAATCACCGGTATCCGACCCTATTAACAAGGACCGACTAATCTGACTCGAGACTTAATCACATATCTTGGAGGTGCCACACTTCTAGTCTCTTTAATATTATGGTTAAAATTGCTTTTTGAAAAAAACATCATTTTACGATGCTCTTGGAAAAACAGTTTTAATTTGTAATTTTTTTTTGTCGTGGTCATCGTCCTTGTTGTCGTCATCATCGTGCAAAATAATTTTAAAATATACTTTAATGTCATCTAGCAAATTACTTTTCTAGTCAGCAGTTCAAACAACAATTCCAATAGAATCAGACTTATTTAAATGTAATCTATATAAATATTTTTTAAAAATTTTTTTACTTTATTCCTTTTTTTTTCCAATCAATAGTTAGAAATACTATTATTTCAACAAAAAATTATTTTTCATTAATTTAGTTCATAGATGAAATCATAGAGTGGGTTTAGCCAAGTCAATCCCACTCTAACAATTCCCTAATCACCGAAATATTTATTTATCTCATAGAAAACTCAAATTCTTCGGCTGAAAATTTTGTTTTGCGAAACAAAAATATTAGACTTGTACTTTACATTTCTTCTTCCTTTGGCATTTCTCATCTTAACTAATGAGTTGAGAAAAAATGACAGCAACAGAGGTCGATGCCTACGTTCAATTTCATCCTTTACGGGAGGCTATAGAGAAAGGAGACTTGAATTCCGTGAAAACCTTCCTTCAGCTTCACTCAGACACAGTACACAGAAAGGTTTCAGGTTTTGGTGAAAGAGACTTGAAATTCCGTGAAAACCTTCCTTCAGCTTTTCACTCAGACCACAGTCAACAGAAAGATTTCAGGTTATTTGGATGAAACAGCGCCTTTCATCAATTTGCGACAATGAGGCTGGGAACATAAAGGAATTGTGGGTTTTTGGTGGAGTTAAATGTAACAAGTAGCAAGGAATTAAACAGGCAGTTGATGAAAATAATGAGACAGTTCTAATTTTTTGCCTGCTGTTATTAGGAGCACAAAGAATATGCCGAATGCATGATTGAGAAAGAAACGAAAAGGACAGCTGGTTACTATTAGCTGCAGACAGTGTCTTCCGTATAGTAGCATGTAAATAATGGCAATAAAAGGAAACAACTCGGGTAATAATGGCCATAAGGAAACAACTCGGTATTTATACTCTCTCACTCCTTTTGAAATACTGCTTGAAGATAATGGAGCCTTTGGATCTTTGCTTCTTCATGCTTCAATTTTCAGCGAAATGTTTGGTAAGTAATTAAGAGTGATTGTCATTTTCAAATCTTGCATAGTCAGTAATTGTTTTGGGGTAGATTATTATTGAGCTCATAGATGAACTGAAAATGTGAAATTCATTTATAAATGGATTTACTTGTAAACGGACTTTTCAAGTTTGTAATAAATTTAAAATTGAAAATAAATTTAGTTTTATTTCCTAAAATTAAATTTTTTTAGTAGAATTTAGTTTAGCTATATTCAAATATATAGAATTGAATTCATAAAATTTAATTTTTCATTTTTTTTTAAAGACCAAATACAAATATTTGAATTTGTATGCAATTCTATGGAATTCATTCATTCCAAACAATGGATTAATCTTGATTAATTTTCTTTTAAGTCTATAATAAAAAATTTTCAATGACAAAATAATAATTAATTTTACTTTCAAAACTTGATTTAACTCTTGTAATTCTAATTTTGATAATGCTGTACAAACACCAGATATATCCTTGGATTTGCAAATCCTTGGATTTGGCTCCAGCGGTTGCCCAGCCTAATCGCCACAAGACGAACACTGTTATGGAAGCACCCACTGTCGGATTTGGCATTGGTTCCTCAAAAGATTTATTTCCTAGCAGCACCCGTTATGTCCTTTCTGGAAAAAATGGAATCTATTCCTGTCAGTACTCCTTCATAGTACCTCTTCATCTCCCTCTTCCATTTCTCTTTCTCCTTTCCTTTGTTTATTCTTTCAGATTAATTACAAGAATTTTAAAGATTCTGGATTTCAAAACTAAATTCTGGTTTGGTTTTATATAGAATAACTATTTTTAGGTTTGGTTTTAATTTTTAAGAAGTTTTACTAATTAAAATTCCCTTTATTTTGAGGTCATTTTTATAATTTCATTCCATTGCACGAAGCATGAAGAAATTCCTACAAAAATATGAACCCACGATATGTTTGTTTTGAATTAGGAACAAACATAAAGGGATTGATGACAAAAGGAAAAAACTGTGCGCTAAACCATTCCGAACACCCCAAATAATACTAGTTGTTATAATTGCATTCCAAAATAAATTTAATCCCCCTGAACACTCCAATTTTAAATTTATGTTATAATTGCACCCTAATCGCAAACTTGGTCAAAATTGAGATATAGAAAATACTCTCTCCCTCGCATTTTGTTGCATGGTTTGATAAAATATGCATATTAAGAATTTAGTGAATAAAAGTTATTTTGTCATTTTTTACCCTTAACTCATTAAGATATTAATGAAAGTCTTTCATTAAAGTCTTTCATTTAATGAACAATCATAAATGTTATTATAGGAAAACTAATTGTTTACGTATCTAAATTTAGAAATCTTGCAAACACGTTGGAACATCCAAAAAAGGTATAACAAGCAAACAAAATAGGATGGACTAGTAAATATAGGTCCCACATGAGTTGGCTAACCCAACATCAGTTAGCTACAGTAAAATGCAACATTTGAAACAGCAAAGAATTTTCTTTCATCCTCCACAGACCGAATATGCTATTTTCTTCCTCCATCTTTATGCAAACAAATAGATAGATCAAGAATTGTTTGAGTAAAATTCAACTCAAATTAGGTTTTAAGAGAGTATGTAAAAATTAATTAAAGCTTCATACCTTGATTTTACAAAGGAAAAAAAAAAACAGCCCTAGAAAATAAAAACACTTTAACATCCAAAAGCGACTGTGATCTACATAATCAGGCCAAAAACATATTTACAGTGAAAACTAAAAGAATCTCTTGATGTCTTATACATATCTCAAGGATCTAAACAATAAAGAAAAAGAAATTAAAAGGAGAAAATACATAGTCCAATTTAGAAAGGTCAATGAAGATTGGGTGGTTAAGCAGCTTCGTACTCACCATGAACCACTCTATCTCATTACTGACGTACACCGTAACATGATCCTCAAGAACCGGCTTGGTTCCACCAACATTGTCGGCAATCACTGGAGGACTACCTCTATTTTACAATATCGTGGGCACAATTAATCGGGTTAGAGTTTTAGAAGATTCAAACCCACTTGTTGTCTATCCAAGCAGTTGCTCTCTCAACTTTTCTCGATCCCCTTAAGCCACTTCCCTCCTCCACCATTGTCTCCTTGCCGATTTTGTTAGTAATCATCCATAGTATTTTTTCTATTCAATGATTATTAATCCAATGTGACATCCCAACCCGGCAAAGCGATCCTAAGAGGGCGGGTAGAGCGAAGCTCCTGGCTAGCTTCTAGGATGACAGGCTAGCTAGGGTAGTGGCTTCTAGGATGACAGGCTAGCTAGGGTAGTGGATGTGGGACAACATGAATGAATCAAAATCATACATCGAAAGGGGGAAAACTAATCATTAGAGACAGCCTTTTGGTGGAATTGGTGGAATGGTTGGAGAGTTGGAAGAATTCCAGGGTTAAGCGTGCTCGCTTAACGGAAATCCTAGGATGGGTGACCTCCTGGGAAGTTTCCCATTTTACCTACGGGACAAAACCGTGCGTTAGCTAACTGAATTGAGTTAACTAACTCATGTGGGACCTCACATTATTTTTAGTCTCTAGTTTGACCAATTTTATAATTAGGATGTAATTGTGATATAAATTTAAAATTGAAGTGTCTGGAGGATTAGGTTCATTTTTACGGTGAAATTATAACAATTCGCAAAGTTTGAGGTATTGGGAATGCTTTAGCCAAAATTGTGTTTGTTACTAAATATGAGTTAATGATTTTTATATGGAAGGTATTCATATGCAACTACCTGCTTCCCCTGGTGATGTTCATGTTCGAATTGCCATTCCAGAGAATGATCATGTCAAACAAGGTAACATTTTATTTAAGGTCAACATTCCATTATCCTTTTTTGTCATTTCAGATTTAATAGTTAATCAAATAATTATTTTTATTGAAAACTTTTTTTAAATCACTATATTAAACAGTTGATAGGTAACAATTAGTATCAAACAGCTAACAGCTACCATAACAGTTACTATTGTCAAGTAGACCTTAAATAATGAAGTAAAGGAAGCATAGTTAAAAAAAGGCGGCTATGTTGAGCATTCTTTATCTAAGCAACAAAATTGAAATATATTCCACCTCCAAGACTCAAGAAACACTCATCTATATATATATAATTAGGTTGTTTTAAAAAAAAACGTTTAACTTAGTTGTTTAATTTTTCAGGGAAGGGTGAAACGCGGAGTTTGAATTCAAAGGTCCTAGACTTTTTTGGTAATGTTATCTCTAATTTCTTCTTTTGTTTTATTAAATGGCAAATTACTTTATTACCTAGTGTTAAGACTACCTTTCCACTTTCATAGTGCCAGAGTTCGAGTACTTCTCTTCCCCCCCAATTTCCCCCCACCCTCTCTCCTGTAACATAGCATTCAAAAGAAAAATAACTTTATTAAAGGATAACTATTGAATACCCCATGAATTTTGATGTCATAAACTGCTCAGCTATTAAACTTTTAAATAGTAAATTACTATTTTGATAAATACATTAATACATCTTTGTAGTATTTATTTATTATACATCTTTGTAGTATTTATTTAATTGTGTAGTCATTATGTTCAGAAATTTGTCAATTGCCTTTTAGGTACTGCTAACCTTAACATATATTTATAATTAAAGAAAAATAGTTTTCTATAAAATTAAATTAAATTAAAAATTTTAAATAATTAAAAAGGAAAATAATTTTTAAAAATTTTTCTACTCAAATTTCCTCAAAAAAATTATTCTATAATTTTTTAAAGGTGACGTTATTTCCAGAGTACTAATTGTTAACGTCAGAGCAAAAACATTCTATACAATATCACTTGATGAAATTGCCTCTCAATGAATTTATCTCATCTGTCCTTCCTTTTTTATACATTTCATTCAAATTTTTAAAAAGAAAAAAATATAAAGAAAGAAGTAGACAATTTAAACAAATTCAATTTTAATCATCAACATATACTGCATACTAGGGAATTCGCGAAAAGCAATAGAGTATATTTAGGTGTCCGGTGGTCGTAGCAATGCTCGGATCACCATCACACTCAAAACCAACACCATTTTTTCTGGTCCAAAGCTTTCTTTTACTTCATAATAACATATCCTTTCTTTACAAATACCATGCTTTGATTAAAAAGGGAAAATATGTATTCAAGCCTTGTCTTTTCTTATTCTTTTTATCTTTTCATAAATAAATTTGGATCAATATTTGAGATACATCTCTCTTTTATAAAGCAATTGAAATATTACCTTACCTCAATTTTTTATAAATCCATTCTTAACTTATCAAATTGCGTATATATTTTTTTTTTATCAGATAAATTTGCTATTGCAAGAACTTTGTGTGAGAACTAAGTATAGCAACTGAGTCAAAAGCATTCATTTCAAAAAAAAAAAGAAGAAGAGAGAATTCAAACATCAAGTGACAACTGTGTATGCAATTTAATCCTATGGGAGTTCTTAAAAAGAAAACGGATATTTAATAAGGGGCAATTTTGTTAAGTAATATTGTATAGAATGTTATTGGTCTGGCGTTAGCAATTAGTGCTCTGGAAATAACACTACCCTTTTTTAATACTAAAAATCCTAAATTTTAGCTTTATTACATAATTAAAACTATTATTACATAATTAAAACTATTTTTTTGTTAGCTAAATACTCAATTTTGTTCAAGAAATAAAATCTTTTGATATATTTTATATTTCAAAATAATTAAAATAAAATAATTTTTGAAAACGTAAAAACAATATTTTTACTCCAATACAGAAAATTATTTGTCATTATTTAAATTCCTTGGAGAAAATGAGTGGAAAAATTAAAAATAAACTACCAAATAATTTTTTAATTATTTAAAATTTTTTAAAATTTTGTATCTTTAATTGCTGAGTATGCATTAATTGAGATCATATTGGTCTTTTCAAATGACATAAGTAAACTAAATTTACATATAGATATGAACATTAATTAGGGGTTGTGAGTAAAATAACTCTTTTTCATATTCTCAAAAAAAAAAAAAAAATCCTTGCAATTTAAATTAGATTGCTGCATTTCTTCACTTTTGGCTTGGTTTTATATGTGAAAATAGGACTGAAGCAAATTTACGATAGGAAATTAAGGCATACCTATGCTCTTAAAATTCTAGAGTTGATGGCCAAGCACGTATCTTCTATTGATGACACTAAACTAAAACAAAAAAGAATATATGATGCATTCTTTAAAGCTATCAGACATGGAGTTGTTGAAGTTGTTATTGAGATGATCAAAGCCAATTCTATTCTTTTAACTGTCGTCAACAAAAATTCAAGAGACATGCTTATGAATGCAATCCAATATCGGCAAGAAAAAGTTTTTAGCCTTATATATGGGCTTGGTTCCAGGAAGCAACTTTTGATTTCTGGATCCGATGAGTTCGAAAACACCATTTTACATATGGCTGCCAAGTTAGCACCTCCTGATAGACTTGCTGGCATCTCAGGTGCAGCATTGCAGATGCAAAGAGAGCTACAATGGTATAAGGTGATATTTCTTGACTTGTTTAAATATTTCTGCAATATCATATTAGCAAAGTAAACTGACTAAACACCTAGAGGATTCACCTATTCTGAAAGTAGGATAAGACTTTCTTTCACCATTCTAATGGAATATTTCTCTTTTCTAAAATATTGAATTTCTTTGGAAAGGCTCTACCTCATCTATAATCAGAAGGAAGGACTGGTTTAGCAACTATTATTCATGGTTGAACACAATAAGGGGTTAATAATATGATTCCTGATTTATTGTCAAGATCTCTAAGGACTTTCTTGCTCTCCTTATTCCTCACAAAGTAGTGACACTCCCAAACATTTGCAATATAAACATACAAATGAACTCCTATCCCTTGTAGAATTAGTTTTTGAAGTGTAAATTTTTTAGATGATAAGTTATTTTTTAAGTTATGTTGAATCACATAAATTTAGTTTTCAATAAAAAATTTCAAATAAATTAAACTTCAAAAGAATGGGGAGAGAAATTATGCTCAATTAAACTTCAAAGAAGTGGGAGGAGAGAGAATGTATGCTCACTAAGTTAGATGTTTTTTTTTTATATTATAGTTTGACTCTATACAATAGAAAATGTTTTTAATTCAGGAAGTAGAAAGCATTTCGATTTTCCTGTCGAATAAGAATACATAATAGTGATAATCGTGAAAGCGAGCTCGTGAGATGATTTTCTAAAAGCATAAGAGAGCTAATAAAAGAGAATGGAGAAGGTAAATGGATCTGAAAAGAAACAGCAACGTCCGTGTACAGTAGTGGGGTTCACTTAATCATCTACTATAATGTTCACGGCAGTTTAAGTTCCTGGTGGTAATGCATTCAAGAAACTGGTTTTCCTATTTTGCCATGAAAAAAGTCATTCTGATGATATTTATAATTATCCGATGCTCATTTCTCGGATCTTTGCCTCCTCAAAATCAGTTTATATGTTTACTTAGGAGGTCCATTACTAGCTAATCAGAAGATGATTTTTCCTCAATCTTCTGCCTATCAAGTTTGAGTTATTGGTCGCTCCTTTCTTACTTCTCTCATTTTCTATTGCAGCGCCCCTGATGTGTAGGCCTTTTGTGCTACTGTTAATGAATAACTGAAAGGAGAATGAGATTGCTCTCAATCATTCTTTATGAGATACATACTGACACCATCTTTAAGTATGATTAGAAAATTTCCGTCTTCTTTTGAGATTTTTTGTATGATTACTTATGTGGCCAGGCATCTTTGAGTAGAAAATGAAGCCAAATGGTATTGGAATATGACGTGATTCCACGAAAGATAATTGGCCTTAAATATTTATAGTGCAAAGGCTGGTATTGAACTATGCGTGTTCAGGAAGCAGAATTGGCCTTTTCTATTGAATTTTATGTTGCAAAGGCATTGAGTTGATGTAATAAGCCAATGTGATTGTTTTGGCTAGCATACCTGTCACCCTTTTTATATTATTGCAATTTCCCCTTCTTGTTGAGATTTTTGTATCTACTTATGGACAAGGCATCTTTGATAGAAAAATGAAGCCACGGTATTGAACTATGCATGTTCAGGAAGCAGAATTGGCCTTGTCTATTGAATTTTATGTTGCAAAGGCGTTTAGTTGATGTAATAAGACAATGTGAATCTTTCTAACATTAAAGTCACGTGTGCATCTTTCTCTATGCTATAATTTTCAGAACATGTAATATCCACATTCCCATCATTTATCTTATGAACTTTACATACATTTTGTAAGAGAACAATGTAGCTTTCAGGCAAAGCCATCAAATTCAAGCTTTCCTACATTGCAATTTAACACATGTTAAAAATAAGCATTAACGTATGTATAAACCCCAAATGCATTCTCATTATAGAAATAAGAACTCATAACAATGCTGGAGCATTTCAATATACCAAAAATCATCATCATAAACATCCTCAAGAATATGGGTTTTCAATTTTTTCAAGAACAAACTGAAATGGGTCTCAGTTTTTGGTATTTACCTCAAACACGAAGCTTCAAGATTGTGATTCCATGCAAACGAAGCACTACATGCTACAAGCACTCACTTCGTGTCGTCAACAAACATCATTTTCTGGAAAATTTCTTCAAAACGTAAACTGGCGATGAACGAGGTGTTTGATTGACAAGTTTTTGTTTTGGAGAACTGGCGAACTGGGTCTGCCTTTTCATTTCCCTCCCTTGGAAGGTCATACTGGTCCACGTCAGAGGAGGGGTGTTTTAGTATTTTTCGTCTTCCATCAATAGCAAAACACCCCATTTTCAAACGGAAGGACTTTTTAATTAGACGGAGTTAAAGGTCCGGGATGTGTTACATATTATATAAAACATCGGGGATTACTTAGATAATTATTCCAAACCACAGGGACCTATAAATAATTTTCCCTATTAAAAACACTACACAACATAGTATTGATCAAATATAATAAAAATTGCTAATCAATACGTGTGATTAACATGTATTATCAAATATGGAAAGGATTCTTATTTAAACATTATTTCTTTTAATTATTCAAACCATGAGAAGGAACATATTGGCATATCCAAAGCCAAAAATTATTGTCTCTATGAATATTATTAAATATAAAAGATTTTTTAATTAAATAGTAAAGAATTTGTTTGGTGGTGGGATGCCCACTCAAAGGGGACCCACGAACCCACACAGTTTGAAAAGAAAAAAAATAATAATAAAGAGAAGAAAAAAAACGTGCTGTTTGAAAAAGCAAAAGGTTGGTTGCCAACTATTCAAAGGTCGGCAACCAACTACGAAATTAATGGAGAGTCGTGTGTAACAAACACAAGACTCTCTCATTCCCTCTCCTATAAATAGGAGAGGATGTTTCTCAGTTTAGATACACCAACAACAAGCGAGAGACATTAGAGTGTTTTTAGTTTTAAGAGGGTTCTTAAAACTAAGGGTTTAGAAAATAGTGAAGATTATTAGGATGTTTTTGGGAAACACTTGTAAGTGCCACTATTTTGTATTACTCTCTTTGTAATTTGTAAGGCTATCATTTTTAATAGTGGGAAGAAAAATATTCGGAGTTGGTTTCGTGGACGTGAGCCTAAACAGTTTGAGGGTGAAACACGTAACGATTTCTTTGTCCCAAATTTTCTAATTTTTTTCCCGCTGCTTTAATTATTTTCGTAATTTTATTGACGGTAAATTCTAACACGGTGGTTATCAAGAGCCTGGTTAGCGGGTCAATAGTGGTACCTGGATCGTGGAGATATACTTTTGGAAAATAAATATACTCAGACCGAAGAGAAAGTTACGACGTGATCCATTGTGTGTCGCTCAGACAAGAGTTGCAGAATCCGCTTAGATGATGAATAGTAAAATAGTAAACTTATCGTGGTTGATGGTGAATATTTATATGTTCGGCGTTTATGTTGATGAGCCAGTGCCAGCACTGATTCACGGTATGTATTATTCATGCATATATAGGTACTATTTACGTATAGTATATTTAACGTATACAGTTTACTATGCTGAATACTTATTACTATTCACATATAGGTAGACTATTCACTCAAAATCATTGGAAGCTAAGAACAGAGCAATAAATGATCATCTAATGGCGCAAGATTATGCATATAATGAAGGGAAATAAATGAAGAGAGTTCCTTATGGTACAAATGCATCTACCGTGTTGTTCAATGAAACGGAAGACCAAGCTGGATATGAAAGGGAATGGGCTTCGAGCATTGAACAAAGTTTGGTGGTTATATTCGAAACAATTTGTTCGTATGATAATGTGTACAACCACTCGTGTCAAGCAGACTCACGCAGAACATTATTGGTGACAAGTTGATGGCTTATATGCTCAAGATCCGGCAACAACCAAGTTAATTTTTTATTTGACAAAGCTTGATGAATTTGCAAATAAGCCAAGAAGGTACTGTCTTGTAGCAATCACTTGAGTGAAAATGCATGGCAGATAATTCACAGCTGTCGAAATATGGGCATAAAATTTTTGATGGTAAATCCTGCGGCCTTATTGGTGCTGCCTTCCTTACCAAGAGTCTTGAGGAGTAATCTGTAAAGATATGAATAACAACTCTCTACGACCATCATAGTGGAGGTTAGTCGTTGGAAATTGGTTAAAGAACTGTGTATTTGAATGACAGAATGAATAGACGTAAAGCACAGAATTCCTTTCTTCATCTTCAAGTCAGATCAGTTTTTTTTTAGCAGATGCTAAAGAAATAACCAGTCCCAGAGGGGAGGAGCCAATCTTAGAAGTTCAAATAAAGAGATAAAGAGAGGGGTAAATCAAACAATTTGCCAATACTGTGTGCAATCATATGGGTGGGAAAAAGGGGCACATTAAAAAGTATTGCCAGAAGTTTTCAATAAGTGATCAGGAAAAAAAAAAAAGCAGATCAAAGGCAAAGCAAAGAAAGAAGAGAGCAGTGCTGATGAAGTCTAATGTCATTGCTGAGTTCCAACTGTTTCAATTGAAGACACATCAATCTTGGGTGCACCCAAGGAGACCAAGTTGGGTAATTGATAGTGGGGCTTACACTATCATGCAACATCCTGGAGAGAGAATTTTTTCATCTTATACACACAGAAAAGTCTGGTGTGGTCAAGATTAGCAGTCCGGCAAACTGTGTGAAAGTCATTCGGTAGAACATTTTGCTTTGAAGAGACAGAAGAATGGTTTCGAAATTAAATTCTTAAAAGATGTTGTCTGTAACAGGATGCATTCTAATTTAAAGTCTCGGTGCAAGACGTGATGTGGAAAATTTCGTGTAAGATAATTCAGGAAGATGGTCAATGGAAAATCACAAAAGGTTCCATGGTGTAGCCAATGGAAGGAAAGATCCAAAGTTGTACAGTGAGTGCATGTGAAGCCTTCCTAAGATGTTTTAATGTAGCGAGGATGAGAGTGCTGTTGAATTGGTGGCATACAAAGTGATAGGCCACATGAGTGAAAAGGAATATGACAACTCTGGTTAAAAAACAAATCTGCTATCTGGATTGGATAAAAGTCTATTAGAGAAACTTGTTTTATTCGTAATGGACAGGAACGGCATGAATTAGAGTAGCTGTTTCAAGATTTTTCTTCTCCGCTTTTCCAGAATGAAGATGTGTTTAGATCTGGGTGCATTCAGATCTAGTGTGGACCATTGACGAATGTCAGTATTGGTGGAAATCGAGTATACTGTTACGTAACATTTAAATCGAATGACCATTCTAGAAGATAACTGGGTTACACTTTGAAGTTAAAGAGAATCAGTTTTAGAATGTTTGTTATAACATGTCCTGAAACTTGGTTGAGTGACACGTGACAGGCAAAAAGGCTGAAGTGGCATCAGAACAAGACTAGATGGTGGAGAATACAAACGGGGCATATTTTGATGCTTTTTGCAAAGAGCAAATGGTATTCGACATCAAAACAACACTCCCAAGAGCCGAAACTGAATGGTTTGGCTTGAGAGTATGAAACAAAACTTTGATGAGAGAGTCCGAGTGTTTACTCTCACATGCAAAAGTTGTCTAAAAGATTTTGGGGTGAAGCTCTTGCTTAGCAGCAGATTATCAAGTCTTATAAATCTGTTACGATTTGTTCACTCTCATGTATTGAATAACTCCAGAAAGAGTATGGTGCAGGAAGAGGAATATTTCCTATTATA